CTGCTCCTATGATGCTGCTTGGCCTGCTGTGTTCATCCAGCTCTACACCTTGTTATCTCAGATTCTCCAGCATCTGCAGTTATGTTGCAATTCAGTTGTGACTGTTTGTTTGATTAACGATTAACAATTTACAATTGAAATGTGATGTAATTGATGTAAATGAGTACCGTCAATTTTAGGATTAAACTCCTGAAATAACTAACAAGAAATCTGCATGAGATAGTCGCTCTGTTGAATAAGTTCATAACCTTGTTCGTAACTTCATAACTTATGAGATGTCCTCCGCCTTTATTGCTGGAGGGGAGACTCGGTAGTCTGCTGGTAAGATAGGAACATAAACAAATGAAGTAGGTGCAAGAGTGGGCCAGCTCCGCCATTCAATTAGATCATGATCTTGCTCCACATTTGGCCTACTCCTGATTAACCTTTCACTACCTTGTCTATCACAGACCGATCTACTACTGCCTTAACAATATTCAAGGCCTCTACTCTCCTCTGTTTTGTGAGGAATACTTCCAAAAAACTCTGGTTCTCTGAGGTGGGGATGGGGAGGAAATAAACTCCTCAACTCTGACATAAATGGGTGAGCCCTTATTTTGAAATAGTGGCCCAGGAACAGTAGATGTTTTAGTTCCAAAAATTGTTCTGGATAGTCTGCTGTTACTTGCATCATTTGAAGTTTAAAAAGAGAGCCTTCATGATAGGAGAATGTGTTTAGGATTTGGGAATTAGAAACCTGTCATTTTTCATTGTGCCAATAAAAATTCTCTTCCAAGTAGAGACTGACTGGAGTATATTCCTTCCTCCAGCAGGCTATTGGAAAAACAACATGCTAGTGGATTCATCTTCTGGATTTGGATAATCTGGTTTATATTTCACTTGCTTTGATCTCTGGGAAATGCTTTCCAAAGTGCTATACTTGGCAATAGCTGCATTTGGCTGGTGGAGATGTATCGTCTTAATATCTGTATTGTCTGTAGAAGCAATACTTAATAGTTTTGCATAAAACGCTTCCACATACTGTTGCAGCTATAACGCAAAGAATGTGCTGGTAATCAATCTCCAATATTCCACCAGTTATAACATGAGAAAGTGTTAATTGAATCACAAAATGGCTAATTGTTTCTCTTTTACTGCTATTCCGAAATAAGGGACATTAATCAGGTTTCAATGTATTTTTAAAAACTGTTTATTACAACATTTTTTAAAAAACCAGGCACTTGTACAAGATCAAAGAAATTGCTTGCTGAGATTTTTTTAAGAAAAGGAAAACACACCTCTGGGCCAAAGGTCCGAAAACAAAGGACAGAATGTGAAGATTTGTCCTCTGGGTTTCCTGTCAATGAAACTGAATCCTGACAACTGTAGACTGATGGAGGATCTTCAGTTTACATAAGAATGTGCAAACTAGGACCAGAAATAGTCGAAGATAGTAGGAACTGCCGGTGCTGGAGAATCTGAGACAATAAGGTGTAGAGCTGGATGAACACAGCAGACCAAGCAGCAACTGCTGCTGAAGCCCAGAGATGGCCCGCCCAGCTTCTCAACCCTGTTCCTCCATTACGATTATAGCTAGTCATATCATTGTAACCTCAGCTTCACTTGCCTGCCCGTTCTCTGTAACCCTTCAACCGATTTACTAATTTAAAATCTGCCCATCTCCTCTTCAACTTTACTCAAAGTCCTAGCATCCACTGCACTTAGGGTAGTGCAGATCCACAACCCTTTGAGAGAAGTAATTCCTCCTCATCTCTGTTTTAAATCTGCTACCCCTTATCCTAAAATTATGTGCTGTCATTCTAGAATGCCCCACAGTGGTAAAAATTGATTCTACATCTACTTTGTCAATCCCTTTGAGCATATTATATACTTCATTTAGATCTCCCCTTATTCTTCTAAACACCACTGAGAATAGACCTAAACTGCTCAATCTCACTTCATGAGACAAATCCCTCATCTCTGGATTCAATCTGGTGAAACTCCTTTGAACTGCTTCCAATACAACTCCAGTAAGGGGACCAAAACTATACACAATATGCTAAGTTCGCCCTCACTAATTTCTTATACAGTGCAGCAACACATCCCTGCTTTTATGCTCTGTTCCTTTCGCAATAAATGCCAAAATTCAATTTGCCTTCCTTATTTGCTGATGTACCTGTATGAGTTTTCTGCAATTTGTGCAAGGGGGCATCCAGATCTCTCTGCACTGAAGCACTCAAGTTTCTCTCCACTTAGATTATTGGTCTTTCTATTCTTCTGACCAAATTGGATAACCTCATGCTTCCACATTGAACTTGAGCTGCCAAATTTAGGCCCTAACCTACCCATGTCTGCTTACAAATTTTAATTTTTTTCTATTCATTTCTGGGGTGTGGGCATTGCTGGCTGGCTAGCATTTCTTGCCCATGCCTTGTAGCCCTTGAGAAGGTGGTGGTGGTGAGCTGCCTTCTTGAACTGCAGCAGTCCACCTGCTGTTGGCCGACCCACAATGCCATGAGGGAGGGAATTCCAGGATTTTGACCCAGCAACACAGTCGATATATTTCAAAGTCAGGATGGTGAGTGGCTTGGAACGGAACTTGGAGGTGGTGGTGTTCCCATATATCTGCTGCCCTTGTCCTTCCAGACGGAAGTGGTTATGGGTTTGGAAGGTGCTGTCTGAGGATCTTTGAATTTCTGCAGTGCATCTTGTAGATGGTACGCACTGCTGCTACTGAGCGTTGGTGGCGGAAGGAGTGGATGCTTGTGGATGTAGTGCCAATCAAGTGGCTGCTTTGTCCTGGATGGTGTCAAGCTTCTTGTGTTGTTGAGACTGCACTCCTCATCCAGGCAACTGGGGAGTATTCCATCACACTCCTGACTTGTGCCTTGTAGATGGTGGGCAAGTTTTGAGGAGTCAGGAGGTGAATTGCTCACCATGGTATTCCTAGCTTCTGGCCTGCTCTTGTAGCCACTGTTAATGTGGTGACTCCAGTTGAGTTTGTGGTCAGTGATAGCCCCCAGGATG